GCCATCATTACCATTTCCACACGTGTTTGTATCATTTACTACCATCTCCACACATGATTGTGCCATTCATTACCATCTCCACACGTGTTTGCATCATTTCTGCTCTCTCTGCACCTGTGTGTGATATTTGTTTCTTGCTCCATACATGTTGCTATCTCCACGCGCGGTTGTACCATTTATTGCTATCTCTACACGTGTTTAGTATATGTCTATGTGATGTTTGTATCATATCGGAAGAGAGGGTATTACACCGCCTCAATGTGCAACTGATGGTATTTGGCAATTACACTATAGGTGCGCAAGGAGCATCAGGAAGAAATCAACACTCTCCTGACACATCTAAACAAAGAAAAACTGAAACGCAAAGACGCTGTTGCTGTGGCGGAAACACTCATCAGTGAAAACAGAAGTCTGCGCGAAACTCACCAGCTCGAAATGTTGCGCATAACTCAGGTATATTAGTAGTCTTGCGTATGGCTCACTTGATTTATAATAATGTATGCGCACGAATAACTCAGGTATGTTAGTAGTCTTGCGTATGGCTCACTTGGTGTACTATAATGCATGAGCACGAATAACTCAGGTATATTGGTGGTCTTGCGTATGGCTCGCTTGTCGAAACAAGGGGTGTTTAGTGTATATAAGGCGCACGTGTACGAATGGAGGAACATCTAGCGATGGTATTGAAGACTGAACTTCTCTATGCATTTAAATACTTTTTATTAAAATACCATTATTAATAGTAAGTCTTTTAAATAATAGTAACTCTTTATTGAAATACTATCCAAAGTCCTACGCGTGCGTGCTTTCGATTGAGATAGCCGTGTTCGATATATCAAATGAGCAGGGAAACAATGCGAGGGTGACTGCTGTGTTCTTGCGAGGTACCTTGCAGCATTCCGTGATTGTGAGCGTCATCGTGTTGGGTTAAAATGAAACTTTAGGTCAAACACAAGGCAGGTGGAAGGGTTCGATAGAATATTCACTCGTTTCACAAATGGTTATGCAACAGACTATCGAGTTGCTTTCGATTATTAGATCGTCTTCCTCAAAGGCAAAAACTTGAAGTTGAAGTACACTCCGGGTCGAGTTGTGGGCTCGGCCAATACCCACTGTAGGATGACATGCTCATCTGTCTATTTTAGTGAACAACCTTTACCACCACTACACAGACCTACGAGGAGAAGTTTCAAACAGAGATGGACGAGAGAGTGGCGAAGCAGATGAAGTATTTGATTGAGAATCAGAAGACGGCGCACCATGAGCTAGAGTGTCTGCTCAACAGAGAGAGACGCGAGAACAGTCGCCAGGCGGAGGTGTGTACCAAATGCGGACATGTGTATCGACTTACATATTTGTAAAAGCATATTGTCATGCAATGACGAAGACAAGTATGCATACATGTGTATTTGAATATCTTGTCGGTTTTCGCTGGATAGAAAGACACAGATACACTGTCGCTGTACAAGGTGGTACTGTGCTTGTTACACTCTCGGGAGTAAATATTTCGAGCTGTGTACCTTGATTGAGTGCGTTGCTTGTTGTAATATATATACACCTTACAGGAATGTGGTATTTAAATAGGCCTTATACCTGAAAATGCGTGTGCAGGACAGGCCATACATGCCAAACACTGCATGAACAGATATATGTATGTCGAATCTATGCCAAGTATCTCGAGTACTTTACTGCTGCACTGCCGGCGATTGAGTATCTCTACTGTGTGATCACCATTACCGACCTATACAACTCTGTAACTTCACATTCTACTCTCTTGCGCATCTATCGCCCTTACCAACTTCAACAGGCGATCAGTAAACTTCAGAGCTCGAAAGTGAATGATGTCGCGGTCGCCATAAGTAACACACAGAACGATATGGAGAAAGATGCCCAAAAGCACATAGATGAGATTAAGCGTGTTTGTACAATGGAAGGTGTGTTTTACTTGGAAATAGCATACGGCGTATGTCTCAATATATGCATATACTGTGTACACGCGTGATTGATCTTGCACAAGAACTTAATTTTGTATCCTTGTGACCCTACGTGAATTCAAATGATACTTTTACAATTGCGTGCATGTTCTATCTGTGTGCAAAGATCAATAACTATATACAATTCTTTTTATCTTGTGAGCGAGATATGTATGCAGTTAAAACACATGCATGTTTAAATGATATATATTTTAGACACACACACACACACAC